ATGGTGTTGGAACCAGTAGTAACCGAAAAGGTGCGTTAGTATTCATTTGTCACAGAAAATCTATTGTTCAAGCAAATCAATTTATAGATCCCTGGGTTCAATGTTTCTGGTGTAGACCAGGACAAAAGGAAGAATGATCAACAGGAACAAGTAAATAGAGCTGTGTTATCTAAATTTATTCGCGTTCTATTTTTCCCAAATCCGGAGAAACTCCCATTGAAGGAAATAGTGAATAAGTTCTTGAAGGAAGTCATGAAGTAAGTTTAAAAATATTAGAGACATTTGTTTTTCTTTAAAATCGATTGTAATCTTTCAGTTACAACGTCGACAAGGATGGCAGCGCATTGTGTTGGTTTAAACAGATAGGAAGTAAGGATGAAACAATCCATTTCAAAGTAAGCATCTACTAATAAAATATCATGTTATATGTATTGATATGAACGATGTTTAAATGTAACAAAAACCATTATTTAGGCAGAGATGTCTTATCAATTTTGGCAGCACTTCCTAGACAAAGGACGTCGTGCATTATTGGATTACAACAAGTCGAAAAAGACAAGTATTAAAGTAGTGAGAGGACACACGATAAAAGCGGGAGATACCGAAAACCTCAGGTAAGTGAATGAAGGCAAATATTCCAATGATCAATGGAACCTATTTGTTTTCAGCCTCTATTTGAGACTGAAAATACGTGATTTTTTGGAAAGGGAAGGTCTTCCCGTCCCTGAAATATCAGTCAAGAATGCATTCATCACCATTCGCGCCTATAATGGCGAGCTTGTTGTAAGTATTGGATAATAAACTAGAATTCTACATGTTTAACAGAGTATTTTCTGTAAGTTAAGAATATTATAGAGGATATGAAGGTAAATTCATTATATACTGTCATTATAGAAAATGAGGTCGACAGTCCTGGCTACCAAACTAGGTTGGTCATACAAAGACTGGCATGGAACTCCTATATTATTTTTAATGAGCGATTCCGAGAAGGAAGCGTATGAGGTAAATAAGAATCGATGACAACTTGTATCTTAGTAGTATATATGACTTTTCAGGAAGGAAAACTAAAATGGGGCAGTCATTCAATTGAGACCATCTTGGGAGTGGACAAGCTGGTCCAAACAATGAATGAGAAAGAACAGGAAGGAAATGAAAATAGTTCCAAGGTAAGGTTATGAACTGTTCCGTTGAGGTTTCATTAACAAGATTATGTTGAATATTTCAGGAGCGAGCAGTCTCACGTAAGAGAGAGGCGTCAAATAGTGAGAACCTCACTAGCAAGATACCAAGATGCGATGAAAATGTAGAGGAAGAAGCGGTATAGAGTGAGTCGAAAGCTGTTATGCTGCGGGCAATCAATTGTGAAAAGACAGTTAACAGAACAGTTAATTGTAACTGTTGGAGTTACTAATAAAGTTAAACAGTTAATTGTAACTGTTGGAGTTACTAATAAAGTTAAAGGATGAGTATCTCATATCTATTGAATAACACTTAAGCCACTACATCGATGATAACTTGAAAAATTGTAAAGGAAAAATTGAAAAAGAAAACGTCAGTCGACGTAAGAAGGACCACCGGTCCCAAACAAAATCACCACCGGTGACCGAGAGGCAGTCGCCTCTAAAAAATGTTATCAAATAAGTAGACCCGCTAGACGGAACTGATGCATCACTACTCCCGGGTTTCCCTCGTGAAGCAGTGAACACCAGTCAAGTCCAAAATTTTCTAAGATACATCTGTACAGGAAACGAATGCATAAATAAAGAGAAAGGTGGTTCGTTTCGCCTCTGACTCAGACGAACCACTGTATTCCACCAACCCCCCGAGGCTCCTCAGTGAGTAGAGGGTTGGCAGAATCATGGGTATGATCAAAGAGGTAAAGAAGAAAAACGAATGGTTAGAGACGTTTTGTGTGTATGCTTTGTGAGAAAGGATGATACGTGACATATCTCTAGATGTATATACAAGCAATAAGTGAAAATTTAGGAATGTTCAGAATATAGCTAGCTGCGTATCGAATGTACGCAGTTAAATGACAATGCGTATAAGAGCACATTATTTATCTGCTATATATTAATAGTGAAAAATGAGTAAACTAATTATATGCAATGGAAGGAAGAATTGATACACCCTTATATACTACCAGTTATACTTTTGATTAACTGTGTAGTGTATTTGAAGCTACTATCTATACCATACTTGTAGCTGATAAACTTGTTATTATATATGCACTTAATAATGTATGAACTAATGAAACTGTCGTCATAACCATTGGATTTCAAGATATGAACCATTTCCTCTATTTTGGAAATGAAGGTTTCAAAACTAGTACATGTATTCGAAATCCGCAGAGTTTCCGTATATATGACAGCTCCTTTATTAATGTTAGAAATATTAGTATCACTATGAGGAAAGCGAATGACCTTAAAATTGAAATCATCTGTTTTATTATACAATTCTGTAAATATTTTGCCATTATGTATATAAACTTTTAAATCAAGGTAGTTACTACAGTTGTCAACCTCATGTGTTTTTTTGAGCTCGAGTTTGCGTTTATATACTTTGTCTAATATTGAGTCTACCATGAAATCACTTTGATTATGTATAACCAAGAGGTCATCCATATATCTATAGGGGATAAAAATACTTTTTTCATTAAACTTCAAATTTTTTGCATATTTGTACTCCATAATAGAGAGTGTAAGATCTGCAAGAAGGGGGCTAAAATTCCCGCCCTGTGGTACTCCTTTTTTCTGTGCAAAGATATAGCCACCAAAAGTGCAATAACTATTGACGAGCAAATATTCAATGTAGTATAACAAATCATTGATTCGATAGTATCTATATTGTGGTTTAATATCCTTTTCCATCACTATAATAAACATTATAGCCATTAGTGGCTATAAAAAGTTTTATTAGCATTTTTGAAGCATATATTCAGAAGTTCTTTTGCATTACCGATAATCAAAGTATGTTCTAAATTAGTAAACATATCTGTAAAATCTGCTGTGAAAATCTTTAACTTATCATAACTAATATTGTTGAGTTCATGACTTATATTGATATTGCTTATAGACCAATAGGTTTTAATAGTTTTATTCCTATTCTGTATAACTCTACAATAATTAATAAAATGATTTTTGACATAAGTAAATATAATATGCAATTCTTTTGCCAAACCTTTTAACACTGCTGTTGTGCGCCCCCGTAATGAATCTAAACTTAATAGGGTTTTTATGGAGCTTAGGTATCGCATAAATAAGGGGCAACGCAGCATTGTTCAAACAATTGAATCCATTGAGTTCACAAAAGGATTTATGCCTGAGAAATTAATGAACTGGTATCGGTATGTTCCAGTAATGTGTATGTGTTTTTAGTATTAACAAATTCACAACTGTTATTATCGTAATCATAGGTAAAGCCCATTTCCCTCATAACTATTGATAAGTACAATTTTTTACAAACAATACCATAATTGTTGCTTGCTTTATCTAACGGGCAAAATATGAAACATTCTTGATATTTTCTGATAACGTTATATGGTACATTTTCTATATAACTACCTATATTATAGCGTGTTAATATGGGTTTTATTATTGTATGGTAGCTGGAGTAAAAATAGCGTTTGATAAGATCTCGTTTTTCTTTACTCACTTTATATTTGGTTGCAAAAAAGAGTAGAGCACTATTCACAATCCCTTCATATACCTGTTTGATTTTGAATCTAGAAACTGCATTTTCAATTCTATATTTAGTGCCTTTTTGCAAAATATTTCTAAATCCATGTTCCCTAATCAAATTCAAATCACCTGTAATGATATGTCCGTAATGTGTTTATATACATACTTCTTTGAAATTGCTGTTTTCACAGATACATCTGCCCTTTAGTATTCTGTTGATTTCATTACTATCTATGTTTCTTAAAAACCGATTATAATTATAGATTAGACTGGAAACTGGATGATTATACTTATATACGATTCTGATGGGAGTGAAAGACTTAGTTCTATTAGTTTCATTACATACAATCCTGTGGACATATTTGTCATTCATGATTCTATTGAATGGCAATTTATCATAGATATGGTTATCATAACCAATTATGATGTTGTGGTATTTGATTGCAGGTTTTTTGATTACAACCATACTATATATGCTTGACTTAAACCTGGAGAAAAGGACCAGCTTAAAAATTCCCTAATAATCTCGCCCCAACAAGCGCTGCACCTAAAGAGTCGGCAAAAATAGGTTTTTGCAAATCATCTAAGGAAAACTTCGGAGGAAACTAGAGCTCTGACAGACAGTGCGAAGTAAAGGCTTAAACATGGCCTTTGTGACCAACAGCACAAACGGTTCACGAGCCTCCACCCCTTGGGGCGTACCCGAAAAACATATCCTGCCATCCTTATGTACTTGTGTTTATTTCTACTAGTTTTCAGTTCTACTTTGGTCCACAGATTACTTTGATTACAAAATTTGGTAAGAAAATGCGTATGCCAGTGGATGGAATTGGTGCGGTGTACATATCTGCCGCGTGGATCCTCCATCTTTTGAAGTTCGGCGCATATGATTGTATGCAACGCTGTAGGCCGACTCTTCAATGATGGCCTTTCCAGCTTTAATATCACCTATTTACCATTTTCCGGCCAGATCACTTTTGTCGTGGCGGACGCGTGTGGCCGGCACCTTTTTATGATCACTGTTGCGTGCTGCGCGGCGAGCATAAATACCCTAAATTTAACCTATGTTTGTATTCAAACCACCATTTTGTCTCGTTTGTGTATTTGCCATGTCTAGAAGAATATGTGTGGTAAATATGACTGAAAAATGTCATGTAATAAAAGTGATAGGGCCATAAAAAGGGAGAAAAGAATGAAAACTTTTCAGAATAGTTTGTAATGGGAACAGTGGGCCAGAAACTGTTCAAAATGTTCGGATTTGATAGCATCATATACGATTTGACGCAAATTCTTTTGCATGGAGTGTTTTCAAGTGAATTATGAGTGTTTTTTGAGCTCAAAGTGGAAGTCCATTCTGTTTTCAGCTGTTGCAGGAACTATAATATTTAAGGATCGAAGTCTTGGTTTTTTTCATACATGCGAAATGAGTATGATTGATATGTAACAACAGAAACCATACTGTCGAAAAACAATTCCTTGGAGAAATCAGTGCTTGAAGTTCCTGACACCCCGTGGTGTCAAGCGGCCATAGAGAGCAAATTGGGCTTGACCCCCATGATGGGGACAGGTGGTCCGTAAAGGGTTAAACAATCCTATTTACTCCCCCTTAACGATCAGGCTCTCCGCTCTGCTTCCGTCGTCACCGGAAAGAGATTTTTCGCTTGGACTCCCCATCATTTCCTCCTCTCTTCCTCTCTCTCTCTTCCTGTACCGTCTTTCTCCGAGTTCCTCACCACCCTCTTCACTCCTGAAGGCTCTGTCTCTGCCTCCGCTTCAGAATGCATTCGCAGTTTATGTCTACAGCAAGGCTCTCTTAGTTTCGGGTATTCTGCCGGCGATTGAATTCGTTCTTTTCCTAGCTCTACGAGTCGAGACTTCATCATTCCGGAACAAGCTGGCTGGTCCCACCATCCCACCCCCTGCAAATGGTCTGAAAGGTTTGATGACCTGCCGTGAATAGTATTGGAGAGGAGGTAAATAAGATGAAAGTAGGGTTCGAGAGACTGAAGTGTCCTCTCTCGAACCCTACTTTCACCTTATTTAGGCTCAGAGCGAGCGTTAAAGAATTGGTAATCTGTGACTCTTTCTTTTTAAAGCGCAACATTGAAGAGCCCCCGGACTACTTGTTATGAAGCTCTTCTTTAGCGATTCCGTCCCAAGCTTCAACGATCGCTTACAGCCTTCCCTTATTTTGGAACTGACGGTTACTCGCGCAAGCTTTCTAGCAGATGCTCCGAAAGATCCCTATCAGAATAAGATCGGGAATACAGACTTGCCGTGCTAGGATACCTATGTTTAAGTAATGCTGCCGTTCACTCGTTGAGGCATTCAAGTGCATGGCAGCAATTTGTGTTCAAATATGCAATTTAGACGACGCCGATTCGTATAAAAGGCCATGATTTGCTGGTGATTCAAAGAGGCTCACTGCTGCAGGACTAGAAAAGTTGTCAAACAACCTCAACTATAGAAACGCATTTTTCATGGGCTTAGCGCTTCCACTGAATTAAGAGCGTTGTAATGGAGCTTCTTTGCTTAGCACACCCGCAGAGGTCTCCTACTTGCTCGCTTGTTCATTCGAAGGAAACAATCCAAAATAGGTTATGTTGGCTTAGTATCTTGCGATCATTGACACCTGCATCCAATC